AAGCAAAGCATGTTGTATAATGATAAAAAATTATGTCTGCATATTTTCACGAATATATAATCGAACATGTGTTTCACTTAGGTGTTTTCATACTTTATGCAGATTCAATAACTATACAAAAAACGTTTACTCTGACCCTATGCTTCAAATGGAGCCCTATAGATAACACATGCTTCACCATCGACCTTAACAGAGAAGCAAGTTCTGCGTGCGTTCATCTGAGATGCTGTGGTTGATGTAAATATAAATCATTAAGTCACAGCTTTTGGCAGGTTATTTGATTGGCGTATTTACAGTAGACGTAACATACAGGGCATGGATGGGCGCAGGAAGAAGATACACCCCTCGCCAACCGAGAAGGAAGAATGCGTAATACGGGGATATTACCCAGAAGAAAAACGAGTGATCAGCGGTGAGATCAAGGCAAGATTTCAGCAACGAATGCATAGGTGAATAACTTTTATCTGAATGTATTTTGGAGGAAAATTTTATATAAATAGTATAAACCCTGATTATTTCTACAATTGCATATTAATATTTTATCTTAAATTGTTAGCCTATATTAATAATATATTAAATTGTATTAAAACTAATAAAATATATATCGAATATAATTTACGAAAAAAATATGAAAAATCTAAATTTTCCAGACAGTTGCTTCCAGTGTAGACAGCTTTATATATCGCAAATGAAAGTGTATTTAAAATGCGTCACAACGTGCCCCTTACATCCGGTGTTCATGTAACTACAGATTTTTAGGTATCTTTTGAAATAGAATGAAAAAAAAATGTATGTTGTACATTGTAAAACTATCAATGTTAGTATCACTTATTTAAAATGTGCTTAATGATTAGTGAACCTACCAATACTGCACATGGGGCAACATTCTCCAGCAGATGATTTATATTCACTCGGACCACAAGCTTTTCCGAATGCGAACAGTGTACAAAGAACTGTAAGGAAAAATAATGCAACAATTTAAGTACCAACTACGCCATTCAAAACTGTCATGATTTCATGAACAAATAAAAAAAGAATATTTAACGATTTTAACTTTCACTTTTGATTAATCGCCAAGACCTCCCTCTTTATGTAGTGTTCCCTATTTATTTATCTTACTTTCTATTTTAATGGCGTTTTGACTTTTCAAAGGACAACACGACCGGTTCACACAGCTCTTCGTCTTACCGAAATGAAGAAAAAGAAATCTCTCATGTCGTACATCTTGTAAAAACCCCACCATCTTTATCCTTGTTGTTTTAAACCGCCATTTTGCGTAGCCAATTTTAACGCCTCAGTGCGGGGACTCTTTTTTTGAAAGCTAAAATGAGGAATGAGACACTTACGGTCTCGTGGACTTAAAGGAGTAGTTCACTTCCATAATGAAAATTCTGTCATCATTTACCCACCACTTGTTCCAAACCTGTAGAGTTTCTTTCTTCTGTTGACACAAAATAAGATATTTTGAAAAATGTTAGTATCCGAACAGTTGATGGGCACCATTGACTTCCATAGTATTTTTTTTTCCTACTATGGAAGTCAATGGTGCCCATCAACTGATTGGATACTAAAATTTTTCAAAATATCTTATTTTGTGTTCAACCATTGTAAGTCACAAGACCGCAAGTGCACATGAAGTGTGCCAATTGGGACAGGGCCATAGTTATAATGAACACAGTATGATATTGCATTTCACAAAAGAAAAAAAAAGTTATCATTCCATATTCTCTCGATTGCAGTTGATGTTGGAATCAGTGTATCCATGGTCACTCCAGAGAAAACTACATTGCGGATTTACATTGCAGAAAGAAGCTGGCTGGTCACTGATTTCTTTGTGACAAATGGCTCATAAACATAAGGTCATCATTGTAGTTTTTATTATTTAAATGTAAAACAATATTCATCAAATGAACATACACTTTTAACATCATTAGTGTCCTTTTCTGTTTCTTAGTGGAGAAAAAAAACTGTTGCGATTCTGTGGAAAGAAAAGCATAATTAATCCTTTGTTCCACTGATGTGCTTAAACAGGGCCTAAAATTAACACTCGCCAAGCGCCAAATGCGAGTAAAAATAGACGAGTATGTGTAACAGTGTCAGTCGCCAGTTGGCGGGTAAAACTTTTACGAAATATAACAATGCAATGTAGTGAGAACAACAGCCAGTTTTTAAAGAGATTCGCTGTTTCTGATGTAAGCGAGTAAAATAGTCTTTTCCGAATACGAGCTCATCGGGATTGGTTAGCTGTTCTGTCATTAAGCGACAAAAGCGAATTAAATAATAGGATACAAACGGACTGATAAGGTCAGAGCAGTGTGATGGCCAGCTTGTACCTAGACATGGTTCTAATAACTTTTACCTGATAAGATATTGCTGCTTCATTTCGGAAGATTAATTTTTCCCTTCTCTATTCTTCATAACCCGAGAATGTGGCGACACATACCTGTGATTACGCCGCCTAAACGGTGCAAAGGTTGCTCGTTCGGCTCAGGTTTTAAAGAGACACCGCTGCTTTTAAAGTAAAACCCGCCAAAGTCTGTCATTGATGTAAATCAAAGAACAAAAGAAAAAGAGAAATCACTCGACTGCTCTAGTCGCTGATTAACTTTTGAAACTTGAATAAAGATTAATCTGTATAGTTTATGCATATACAATTTATAGTTTATGTGAAGATTGTTTTAAAATCACTTAATATTTCAGAGCCTATTAAATATTAACAATAATGGCTTTCTATTATACTGTAATGTTGAATGGCTATAATTAATAGGCTAGGTAAAATTGAGGGAAAATGCATTTAATAGAGACACCAGTAGCAGTATTGGGACCAATACTTCATTAACAATAGGTTACTTACTATGGAAGTCAATGGTGCCCATCAACTGATTGGATACTAAAATTTTTCAAAATATCTTATTTTGTGTTCAACCATTGTAAGTCACAAGACCGCAAGTGCACATGAAGTGTGCCAATTGGGACAGGGCCATAGTTATAATGAACACAGTATGATATTGCATTTCACAAAAGAAAAAAAAAGTTATCATTCCATATTCTCTCGATTGCAGTTGATGTTGGAATCAGTGTATCCATGGTCACTCCAGAGAAAACTACATTGCGGATTTACATTGCAGAAAGAAGCTGGCTGGTCACTGATTTCTTTGTGACAAATGGCTCATAAACATAAGGTCATCATTGTAGTTTTTATTATTTAAATGTAAAACAATATTCATCAAATGAACATACACTTTTAACATCATTAGTGTCCTTTTCTGTTTCTTAGTGGAGAAAAAAAACTGTTGCGATTCTGTGGAAAGAAAAGCATAATTAATCCTTTGTTCCACTGATGTGCTTAAACAGGGCCTAAAATTAACACTCGCCAAGCGCCAAATGCGAGTAAAAATAGACGAGTATGTGTAACAGTGTCAGTCGCCAGTTGGCGGGTAAAACTTTTACGAAATATAACAATGCAATGTAGTGAGAACAACAGCCAGTTTTTAAAGAGATTCGCTGTTTCTGATGTAAGCGAGTAAAATAGTCTTTTCCGAATACGAGCTCATCGGGATTGGTTAGCTGTTCTGTCATTAAGCGACAAAAGCGAATTAAATAATAGGATACAAACGGACTGATAAGGTCAGAGCAGTGTGATGGCCAGCTTGTACCTAGACATGGTTCTAATAACTTTTACCTGATAAGATATTGCTGCTTCATTTCGGAAGATTAATTTTTCCCTTCTCTATTCTTCATAACCCGAGAATGTGGCGACACATACCTGTGATTACGCCGCCTAAACGGTGCAAAGGTTGCTCGTTCGGCTCAGGTTTTAAAGAGACACCGCTGCTTTTAAAGTAAAACCCGCCAAAGTCTGTCATTGATGTAAATCAAAGTACAAAAGAAAAAGAGAAATCACTCGACTGCTCTAGTCGCTGATTAACTTTTGAAACTTGAATAAAGATTAATCTGTATAGTTTATGCATATACAATTTATAGTTTATGTGAAGATTGTTTTAAAATCACTTAATATTTCAGAGCCTTTTAAATGTTAAAAATAATGGCTTTCTATTATACTGTAATGTTGAATGGCTATAATTAATAGGCTAGGTAAAATTGAGGGAAAATGCATTTAATAGAGACACCAGTAGCAGTATTGGGACCAATACTTCATTAACAATAGGTTACTTAGTAAAAAGATACCATTAAAAACATTTTAAAAATACTATCTATATGTTGTTTCTACATTAATTTGGAGGTTCAATGTGAAATTACGACAATATAAATATGCGATTCATCATGATTACAGAAAAATGTGATTAATTATTTTTTGAATCGATTGACAGACAACACTAATGTTAACCTTTTATAGATTTTCGATTTCAATTTAAGTTCTAATTTTATAGGTCCCCCCAGAAAGAGATCCAGACGGCCCCCCCTCCCTTGGTCCCCTTCAGATTTTCAGTTCGATAATCCGGCCCTCAAATGAAGCTAATTGAATAGCCCTGCTCTAATTTGTTAACATGGATGCGGTGAAAAAAATACACACCAGGCTACGCACTGCAAACAGAGTATGCATCTCGTTGTTTTATAGGGACAAAAAAACAACTGTTTGTTGTTGTTTTTTCTTGTAAGTAAAGGACAAATTAAAAACATTGTAAATATGTTTAGTCATTGTAGTAGTAATAACTGCCTGTTTTTGCAAAAATTGTTTAATGGCCGGTAAAAAAAAATTTTGGCTGATAAATTTAATCACATCACCGGCCATTGGCAGGTGTGGCAAAAAGCTAGTTTTAGGCCCTGTGCTTAAGCCATTTTTCCTCATAATGTGATCTGTAAAAATGCCTTTATGTCCTGTATTACTCAACACAAAATTGGCCTGTGTAATACGCATTTTTTCCCACAATGGTCTTTTAATTTCACTGCACTACTTGTGTCATTTAAGTGAACACACATCAAGCAATGAGAGGTTCTAGACTAGTGATAGATGCTAGATTGTTTTTTTGTTTTTTTTACATTTGTACATTTTGATGGTTCACAAAGGTCGTGGATCTTGTTGACCAATGAAGCAGAAATATGGTTTTAACTGATCAGTGAGCTTTATAATGTAGGTTCAGTTTTAATGACAGTCATATATGGAAAAATAGAGAGTGATGTTATATAGGCCTTGTCTCAGATTGGCCTGATAGCAAGCCCTCTCAAAAACCACAAAACAAACACTAAAATCAATAAAAGAACACAAAAACATACACTTCATGTTTTATGATATTTAATGATTTGATAGATTATACTTTTATGAAAACCTTAACAATTTGCAAAAGGTGTCATTACACATTCGTGTGGTGTTCTCCTTATGTTGTTTTGACTATAGGTGCCACCAGAATGTGCTGCTTCAAGTGATTTGAAAGAGCAAATCATTTTGCAAAGCACTTGATTCAACTGATTCAGAGTTTAGAAAAGCTTTTCCCTCTCACTAGTCTAGACAACAATATCTGAAAATAATTACATGAACATTATTTCATTAATAATTAAATTGTCATGTCATACAATTTATATCTTATTTTTTCCCCAAGTCAATTTAAGTCAATTGAATGCACTCTATAGTAGTCATTTATTTAGTTTCTTTTGTTTTTTTTTAAGAAAAATCAGTGCTGAAAAATAAATGGTTGTCATTTGGAGATTCTGGGTCATAGATTCTGAAATGTCAGGACCTTTACTAGAAAGCACTTTTTCAAAGGAAGAACTACACAACAGGTTTCATGTGAGCACTCTTATATACTATACTATACTATACTATAATATAAAGATCCTATTGATCAGCTTTTGGCTCTTACCTGTTAATACTGGTTTATCAAAGTAGGTCCAACTGAGTCGGCCATTTCTTTAAAAAAAATAAATAAATAAAATAAAGCTTTATGTACTTTTAGTTTTAAGACTACATCAATATTTTAGTAAGGTGCTTCCTATTATAAATGTTTTACTGCATAAATAAAGAACAGGTCAAATATTCACTTACCGATTCATCATCCTCGGTTGCTTGTTGTGGGGTGTAACAGACACCTGCAATATAAAAAGTATTAGCACTGCTAATGTTAATTATAGTAACGTTAAAATGAGCATTTAGTGCAATTTTATAGTAAGAATTTAGTTCTTACTTTTGTTAGAGTGCCTTGCTTTATGTTTTCTGTATGTGATGCATGCTAATAATGTCACAGCTACAGCTACAAGAACTGTAATTGTGACTCCAACTATAAGACCAACTGAAGTCACTTTCTCACATTCAGCATCAGAGGATGTTGTTCCTGCTTTTATTTCTGTAAGTCCCATAGTCTCACATCTGAAGATATTTAATTCAGTGATATTAGTATATCCAGTTTTAGAGTAATCTTTAAATGAAATTCTCTGATCTGTGGACACTTCTCACTTTGAATGTGGTAGGCAGGCCATCAGAGAGCCATTTGAATAAGTTCCATCTGTGCAGCCAGCACATACAGTATCTGTAAATGCTGTTCCTGTAAAAATATCAAATATAAAATGTATTTAAAATGTTATTAAAGCTTCTTTTTTTTGTACCTAGGGTAAAATACAATAGCTAAAATAAATTTTGCATGCATTTTGTCCCTGTTTTTAAAACTCTACAATTGAGTATATATACACCCACCTGTTTGTTTAATATATTGTCCAGGTTTACATTCAGTGTGTTCCACTGCTAATGCACAGGAGTCTTTATTTAGTTTAATGCAATGGAATCCTTCCTTAGGCTCACAAATTGTATCTGCAGAGCGTGTACAGGCCTTTTTCACTTTTAATTGTTGGACTGTGGACACAAAAACAAAGCAACATCATATTTAAAGTGTAAATACATTAGACAGCACTTCCTTATTACAGTTTTATATCTCGTTACCATTGCGTTAATGGGCACACACCTGTGTCACACACAGTGCAGGAAAAACATTTTGTGAGTCCATTGGATTCATCTGTGTAAGTTGATGCAGGACAAGGAACACATGTTGTACTTGTGTCTATAGTACAATGCCAATAAACACGGTTCCCTACAAGAAAGGTAAAACAAGTTTTTTCTTTAAAGAAAGTGATTACATATCAAACAAACATAGTCATGGAAACGTTTTTGGTCAAGTGACCTCTTTGCTGCATCACATGACTTATCAGCTGACACTAGTCATGTCTGTCTTACAGACAAAAAGTTTTTCACAACATAGCCATAACAGCATTTTAACAAAACTAAATCAATAGTTTAAATGACTTGTGTAATACACGTTTGAAAACAGTGTATCTTTGTGCTCTCTGTCTTTAAAACATAACTTTTAACTTTAAATTTTAACTTAACTATTTAGGATCTATTAACTCTTATTATTTGTTAAATTGGTTAACATTACTCACAGCCAGAATACGCTACACAACTTTTAAAATTTTAAGATTTGAAAACACTTGGCATTATACATTATGGTTACCAGGAAAACCTGGACACCATACAATAAATCATCAAGGATTGCACACTTCCAGTTTTTCCAAACGTTTCAAACTCATCTCACACAGAAACATGTCTCGTTGCTTCAAGACATATGACAAATGAATGTTCAAAAATCATTTTAAAATATTAAACATGTTTGATCTCCAACTGGATAGAATCATAGCCTGAAGATAAAAAATCTTGATTCTTTACCATCATACACTATTTTCTGTCAAATCTGTCAACTCTGCCTGCCCACAAGTTGCAGACTGGCTCTGACTTTCGGCAACTAACAGCAACTTCTCCAGACTGCAAACATTGGGCAAAAATCTGTCCAAAGTTTGTGTAGTGTATTCCAGCTTTTATTGTACACAATCCAAAGTAAACATTTGTACTTTACCAGGGGCACACATGGGGCAGCATTCTCCATTTATATCATATTCAGCACGGGCACATCCACAGAAGCAAAGTTCAAAATTAGTAGCAATGATGACAGCAATGGTGGATATAATGGTCCTCAGCAATAACATGTCCATATAAAATGCAAACAAGGATTATTTAGTCCATTTTAGTCCATCAAAGTGAAGGAAAATGTTTCACCCTCAGATTTCATGAAGCTATTTCTTTCTTTACAACTTCACATTAAATAATGAATTAGATCCCGGTACTTGCATTCCTGTTCACTGAGAGGTACTTTAGGTCTCTGTTTATATGCATATAAAGGCTATTTCATATCCTGATGGCAGGTTCCCTGCCTTTAGATGATCTGTTTGACGGAGACTTAAGATGCTTTGGCAGAAAACTCCAACAAACTCTTCTTCCTCTACATACTCGGCATGACCCCTCTTGAGTAAGTACAGTAATCAGTTGAATTCTGTAAAGAGTTAAAATAATAAATAAGAGTTAAAAGGTTATAGCTAATGAGAAAAGCAAAAAACAGCAAAAACAGCAAATACATAATAATTTCACATGCAAAGAGGTTGATCAATTATCAATCTATAATACACAGTAGCAAAAAAGGCTAAATTATTTCTAAGGTCTGAAAGAGAACAAAAATGGCTATGCAAAAATAATGTAAGAGAACAAAATAAAATAAAATAACTAACATGTATGCATTTATTAAGACACAAACTATATACACGGGGCTGGAGAAATCTTTTCATTGACCATTTTAGACTAAAAGGGAAATAAACTGTAAGATATTCCAGTTTATCAAGTTCTAGCTTGTTCTGTGCATGCTTTCATTTTCTATTTTAGGGCTTACATGAACAACAAACATGTTAAAACAGATTCAATCAAGCTTAATTCATAACTTAAAGTAGACCTACAGTTGTGCTCAAAATTATTTACACCCGTGGTAAATAAATTATCAAAGAAGGCTGTGAAAATAAGTCTGCATTGTTTATCAATTTGATCTTTCATTCAAAAATGTCAAAAAGAAAAAAAAATAATAATCTAACCTTCAATAGACGTAAAAAAAGTGAAGGGGGGGGAATCACATTATGAAATAAATATTTTTCTCTAGTAGCCTACACAATGGCCACAATTATTGGTACCCCTAGAAATTCTTATGATTAAAATATCTCTGAAATATATTCCTATTCATATTTGCATTTTTTTTTATCACACCAGGGTGACAGGGAACATGAAATTATCCAGCCATGGCTTCCTGTTTCACAAGAATATAAATATGAGGGAACACAAAGGCCAAATTCCCTTAATCATTGATCACAATGAGTAAAATCAAGGAATATATTTCTGATGTGCATCAAAACATTGTTGAACTTCACATATTAGAAAGTAACTGTAAGAAAAAAGCTAAAGTGTTGAAAATTCCCATTTCCACCATCGGGGCAATAATTAAGAAATTCCAATCAACTAAACATGTTACAAATTTGCCTGGAACAGGATGCGTATTTATTGTCTTAAAGCAACGTGAGGAGGATAGTTTGAAAAATAGTTGATAGTAGGTAAATAGTTGAGTCTCAAGGTCAGAAAGCCTCAAACAAATTTATCAAAAAGCACCTACATCATTACATGTTGTTCAAGAAAAATCAAGAAAAGAAAATGCTCTCATTCAAAAACTCCAGCATATTCATTTGCTAGATAGTACTGGAACTTCAAACTGGACTGGGTTCTATGGTCAAATTAAACTAAAAACGGAGCATTTTAGCAGCAAACACTCAAGATGGGTTTGGTGCACACAGGGATAAAAAAGTAGTACCCCATTTGTACAATTAATTATACTGCTGGATCTTTAATGTTTTGGGCATATTTTTCTGCCAGCGATCCTGGATATCTTGTTCAGATACATGGCATCATGGATTCTATCAAATACCAACAGATAAAAATTTTTTTAAACTAACTGTCCATGCTAGAAATCTTATAACTGGCCCAGGTTGGATCTTCCAACGGGACAATGACCCAAAAACAAACATCAAAATCAAAATCAAAATAGGTCACTGAAAACAAAACCAAGTTTCTGCCCTGGCCATCCCAGTTACCTGACGTGAACCCTATAAAAAAATGAGTGGGGTGAACTAAAGAGGAAAATCACTAACATGGACCTGGAAATCGGAAGGGCCTGGATGAAGGAATGTTTCTGATCTCTTGTCAGATGTTCTCCAAACTCTTTTATGAGTGAAGACTCAGAGATGTTATCTTGGCAAAAGGAGGTTGCAAAAAGTATTGAATAAAGGGTATGATTAATTGTGGCCAATGTGTATTAAAACAAAATATTTATTTCATAATGTTATTTTCACCCTTTTTTAAATTCTTCGTCTCCAATGAAAGGTTAGATGATTGTATTTTTTTTTTAAATAAAAGATCAAAAGGATTACCGATGCAGATTTGTTTTCACATACTTTTTTTTTTTACCATATTTACCAAGCAGTGAATAGTTTCACTTTCATTTTGAATTCGGAAAAAGTCCCCACAAAATTAAAACCAAAAGGTCCAAAAAACAAACCATCGAATAGTTTTTAGCCTTCGAAAATTATTTATGAATATAAACACTTATGAAGAGTTTTGAAAGTGTATCTTGTGAAATTTCATATGTGACAATAGACGGTGTTGCATAACCACATTTTCAAAAACAGCGTCATTATTTCTACTCGAAAGCATAATGCCACACAGACATAAACACTAGCTTTACCAACTGTAAAATCAAGAACTAGACATTCTCAACAGAAAAAAAAGGCTCACCAAAGAAAGAAACGGCCTATTCCTCCTGTCCGCCCAGCCCCAGAGCATAGCCTGTATAGACGGTTTCAACGGCAACGACATAAAGAAACGTTACTGCGCATGCGTGGTTTTGTGGCCCTAACTTAACTTCCGGTACACTTCCGCAGACATTCAATAACAACAACAACAACAAAGTCCCTCTAGAGTAGATTATTTCTAATAATAAGCGAAATAAATAACAAGTAAATTAGCTAGCAAGTTAAAACTATGTCTAGTCATTATTATTTTGGGTTACCAGTAGAAGAAAAGAACCGTTATTTGGCCAAACTTAAATGCGACAAAGTTACACTACCAGACCCGTTCAACAAAATGTTGAGGCAAGAATGTTTTTCTACAGACCTGTCTGATTTACCGGAGGTCAGTCAGGTACACATCTTTGAATACCTAGTCGAGAAGGAATGTGCATATACAAGGGAGGCGTTCAAGGCATATCGCAGCTTAGATGCGTATAACTATTTTCATTCCGGAAAAGTTCAACGCATAGCTGGAGGTTGGCATAATGGCAGGTTGTACCATCTCTCCACTGACATTCACTATCATAATCCGGGCATCCCGTTGGGTGGTTGGAGGGGAACGTTTGAAAAATGGGTTGCGGCTCCCTCCAATCAGGGCATACATGGATGATATGACTACCATCACAATGACTAAAGCATGTACTAAGCGGCTGCTGGATAAGCTCCAGGAAAACATCAGATGGGCACAAATGGAGATTAAACCCAGAAAATCTCACAGCATCTCCATTGTCAAAGGCCAACTTACTAATGTCAGGTTCTGTATAGCGGGAGAGCCCATACCAACGGTCATGGAAAAGCCCATCAAAAGCCTTGGACGTTGGTACACCGTAGACCTTAAAGACTCAAAACAGGTGGAACAACTCAGGCAAGAGACAGTCAGTGGACTCAAGAGAATCAATGGTACAGCTCTTCCGCGGAAGTTGAAGCTGTGGTGCTTCCAATTTGGTTTGTTGCCACGGCTTATGTGGCCAATTTCCATATACAAGCTCAATTTATCTCACGCCAAGCACCTGGAGAGACTGGTGAGTACACAATTGAGGAAATGGATTGGGCTACCAAGATGCCTTAGCAGCATAGGGCTGTACGGCAATGGAGCTCTTTCTCTTCCTATTTCAAGCCTTGTGGAGGAGTACAAATGCGCCAAAACGAGGCTGGAGATGATGCTTAAAGAATCCCGCGATCCCTGCGTAAGAGATGCTGCTCCAACATTGGCGACAGGGAGGAAATGGAATCCAGTTACAGCAGTTGCTGATGCAAAGGCAGTTCACAGACACTGGGATATTGTGGGGCAAGTCCAATATGGTAGAGGGGGACTTGGGTTGGGAATAATAACACCTAAATGGCATAAGGCAACAGCAAAGGAACAGCGAAACCTGGTGGTGGAGGAGGTATGTCATCAGGAGGAAGCAACTAGATGCGCTAGAGCAGTCTTCCAAGCCCAACAAGGCCGCTGGATGAGGTGGGAAGGTATAGAACGGCGTAAAATCACTTGGAGTGAGCTATGGAGAATGGAAACCAACAAGCTAAGTTTATCGTGAGAGCCACATGATGTAGTAGGGCAGGCTAAGTGCGCGTGGCTACGACACATATGTTCCCGCCCTCACCGTCACAGCACAAAAACACTAATAAAACTTAGTTTTGGAAAAAATACTTTGTATTACACGTATTTATATTATTTTGCTTTCTATTAATGCAATAGAGAATGAGGAGTTACGTCACGATCTTTTCACTCCGCATTGCATTTCGGGAAGGCGCCGCCATATTAGCAGGATACGCTATCCGTTCCCATGGTTACTTCTCATTCTCTATAAGGATAAATGCTTATCTTTTGTTTTGTTTTTGCCTTTAGTTAAACAACCATTCATTCTTCATTGTATCGTTTGCATGGAAGAGAAGCTATCTTATCGCACTGCATGATATGCACTGCATTTCTTTCTTAGGTTTTGTAGAATTTGTTTTACAGTGTTTACCCGATTAGCTTGAATACAGTGTCGCTCGCTGCTGCTTCAGTCATCATATGGTACATTATCCAAATAAAAGTGTGTGTTCAACAAGCTGACAGAAGTCGATCCATTTCTTTGTTGGAAACTTTTAAATGACAAAGTATAATTGTTGTCATTATAAATATTAATTTTTCCATGGCCACGGAGGAGAATCGGAGATTGTGGGTCACATTCAACGAACAGTCACGAACTCACTGTACTTTTTATATTTATTTCAACAAATGACAAGCAAAATCAAATCCCTAGGAGCTTGGGGAAAGTTTTGTAGCATTTTCAAATGCTGGTTAAATGTGCTAAGACAGTGATGCTAAAAGACATGCAGATGAGCCAGAATATCAACGCGACATGTTTAAATGTAAAGCGTTTTCCTCTCTTTAGAAAACTATTATATGTATATGTATATGTATATGTATATGTATATGTATATATATATATATATATATATATATATATATATATATGTGTGTGTGTGTGTGTGTGTGTGTGTGTGTGTGTGTGTGTTACATTTATAATTACTATTCCCGGCCTCCAGTTGAAACACACATTTTAAGATGGAATGTCACATGGAGTGTGTTGCATTGTAGGAAACCGTATTCCATGCAGTGTCCTCAGATGCATACATCAGATTTCACCAAATGTAGTAGGTAATCTGGGAATTCCATGCATAAAGAAAATTAACTTACTATTCACATTATACACATTGCATACTGCAATAGAGTAGGAGTTCTATGGTAGTATGCCATTCTGAACACAGCTTCCATACCGATTTCAGTGTACTTGAGTTATATTTAGCAGATTCTGGCAAATATAGTATTTGGGTATTCCATGCATACAGAAACCCAACACACCTTCTAGCTTAAAAGGGGTTTTCAACCCTGTCCTGAAGGCCCACAGCACTGCACATTTTGTATGTCTCCCTCATCTAACACGCCTGATTCAACCCGTCAGCTCAGAGACTGCAAGACCTGAACTGTCTTGTAAGGCAGACACAAAATGTGCCCTGCTGTGGGGCCTCCAGGACAGGTTTGAAAATCCCAGGCATAGAAGTTCCATACTTAACCTCAACAACTTGAAGGTCTTTGTCTACTTGCAGACTAAGCTTCTCCTATTTGGACGTCTTCATGCTTCAGCGAGACCTACATGGAAATCCCCTGAAGTCTTGCAGGTATCAAGTTTAGCCATATTCGAACGGAATTAGTTTTCATAATGTCTGTACAGGAATACTGTGAACGTCTGTAAGATATATTGCCGATTCATACAGGATACTCTGTTGTGAGGGGAAAATCACAGAGATCAGATTTTACTTGGCACAAAGTACAGATATTTACTGTGAATAATATAGTGATGCCATGATATTTGCTAGTTAAGGTTTTTATTAGTTATTTTTGCAGTGAATTTCAACCATGAAACATTCTGAATGTTGGTACAAAACATGTCTGAAAGAGAAGTGTCATGGGTTATTAATGTTTCTTAAATGTGTGATGTACATTATTATGAAGCAAATAGCTTGTCAGTATAATAGATACTACTAGAATTTACAGATTATTTATTCAAAGTATATACATATGATTACATATGAACTGTCAGAAATTCAGACATTAAATTGGGGGTGGGGGGGCTTAAATTTAATATATTTACAAATATGTGTCATCATGTCACAAAAATGATTCACAAATATAGTATATTGTGTTATACTGTGTACTAATTTCAGCGTATGCAAGTAACTGTTCAGGTACGAGGCATAGATTAATGTCAAAATTTCTGATGAATGATTCATAAACTTTACCATGGTAATCAATAGTGAGTGCATCCATTATCCATTTCAGTTTTTTTAATAAAAAGGGTTAAGAATAATACATAATTTTATGTTATATATAACAAGAGAACACATGTATGCATAGTGTTCTCTCTCTCAGTAAATAGCTGGTCTACCTTAAGAAACCAATATTTCTGTTTCTTTTTTGAGTTCTCTTTTTGTTTCAGCTTTGACTGGTTGAAATGTATTAAGTAACATCAAGTCCATGGATTATATGTATACGCATTTTAAAAGCCCTCCACCAACATTTCGGAACTGGACAGACCTGAAATATAAAAATCCCATTATTCAGACAAATGTAAAGTATATTATGATGGGGGAAAATTGTCAAAGCCTTACCTTATCCCTGGACGAGCCTTTGACTTGTGCTTGAATATGACATACTGGGTTACTGAGACTCCAATAACAACAACAACAATGACCGCAACAGTAGTTATGATTCCAACAACAAGACCATTTGGAGTGTGTTCACATCTAGCATCAGATGACATTGTTCCCGTTTTTATTTGTTTACGTCCCATACTCTGACATCTGTAGACATGCAACGGTGTGATGTTAGCACGTCCAAACGTATTAGAATGGGAATTTAATGTAAAACTTTGTATTACTCACAATGTATGTGGCTGACAAGCTGTGAAAGTGCCATCAGAGTAGGTGCCATTAATGCATTCACCACATACAGTATCAGTGTTTGCTGTTCCTGTAAAGATATTAAGACACTGAGTTCCTTAACTGTTTCATTAGATTAACACTACAGGGATTTTCACACTAAGTATTAAATGTCGTAGAGTTGTTTAGCATTTAACATTATTCAAGTACTGTTAACAGTACACACGTCGGGTCAGTTATTATAAATTCGGTAACATTTGACAATAAGATTGAATTATTTTTAAACATTAGTCAATAGTTAAAGGTGCAGTATGTAATATTGAAAATCGGTACTGCAGTCCAAATTCAAAATATTGGAGAGCGTTGTTTTATACTATTTCTGCAGATACAGTCATATATAGCTGTAGAATTTGCATCACAATAAAGCTGTGTATAGTATTATGAAATATATTAAATAAGGTCTAGTTTAGTAAGTATTTTGTATTCTTATCTGCCTATTCTAATATGCAAGTAACTTGTGAGTAGTATTTGCCAATGATTTGTTATCTCACTTTAGTAATATTTACACAGAAAATGTGAACATCTGTACCTCTTTGTTGGATGTATTCTCCAGGTTTACACTGAGAATGTTTAACAGCTAATCTACAGCGGCCTTTTTCTTGGACCATACAGGAGAATCCTTCTAGTGGCTCACAAACTGTATCTGATAACCGTGTACAGGCCTTCTGTATCCTTAAACCTAAATATATTGAAACAAAGCAGTTGTTTATTATTGAAGATTGAAACATGTTAAATGATTGTATACTTTTGCGTAACCTTAACTCGCTGCTAAAAGAATACATGTGAAACACTCACCTTCATCACAGGCCGAGCAGGGAAAGCATATTTCAAGGCCATTAGACTCATCAGTGTATGTGAATGTATTACAGGGTGCACAAGTTGTGCTGGTATCCACTGTGCAATGCCATAAAACACGGTTACCTTTAAAAAGTATATAGGATATTAGAAACTTTTTTATGGAAGTCCTACGTCAAGACATCTTGCAATTCTCCTTGTAAACAATACTACCTATTGGACTTAAAAACAAAAATTATTTTCTTTTATTACTGTGAACTATTTACTAACCAGGTGCACACATAGGGCAGCAATGTCCGTTTATCTCATATTCAGCACGGGCACAGACACAATAAGCTAGTTCTAGGTATAGAAAGGCAATAGAAACGATGTATAAAATAATCAACAAAATCGGCATTTTCATAAAGATGTAAAATTGGTCAGCTCAGTATGTCTGTGCAAAGAGCTGATAGTGGATTTAGTGTTCCCATCAGACTTCAGAAGCACTTCTGTGTGTTGAATTTAGCAGGTTCTGATCATCGTTTTCTGATGGATTTCCTTTTCTGTGGAGTGGGAAAAAAAATCAGTAAAGGACACAAAAGTAGCAGATTTAAGTAACAAATTGTTGGTAGGTATGTCACCCACAACCAAAAAGTTTTGAATCAACTATTGAATATTGTTTAATGTAATTTTTCATGTAAACATGACTTTTAGTATTCACATGCTTTCAAAAATGTATTAGTCGAGGTTTCATTTATTGACATCAGTTAACGACATAACTACATGAACTAACAATTAACAATACTTCTACAGCATTTATTAATCTTAGTTAATGTTAATCTAAAAATGTAGTATTTTAAATAAAGTAATTTAAAAAGCAACTGCTTTGACAAGAACATAATTTCTTTCTTCTCCAGATCCTCAAAATATATATTTGGCATTACCCAATCAACTTGACAAGCAGTGAATACATTAAATCCATTTACCAACACGAGAGCATAAGAAAAGCACTTACTTGAAAGGAATGAGATGTTTCTCTCAGCTGCAGACCAATCTATTGAGCGGGGAGGCAACAGTAATGAATACAGCATGAGAAAAACTTGTGACTTAAAAGTGACTGGTTGTGTGCGATTCTTTGCACAGTGGATACAAAGTATCCCATTAAGATATTATTACACTTATTCAGTGGCTGTAATAAAGTGAGCTTGAGCTTGATCTACTTTCAATCTTTAAACATGCTTCAGCTCTTCAAACACTGCTTAGTTTAATTTGACAAACTTGAGGTAACTAGTCTAAAAACATGACGGCATAAATTTGTTTTACAAAAAAAAAAACGTATTTACCATAATGTATATAATTTATATAGCACATTTCCCAAAAGTAAGCCATGTTCAAATAGTAGGACACAACATCATTTTCTTGACCCTTTTAAATAAAGATTGAATATTTATTTTATATATTTTATTACACAAATGTATACATTTTAAGTATGTGGAGCTTTTGATTTGTTAGATTTGTATTTTTTTTTTCATGACGCATTCAAACTGTTGGGCATGACTTGATACTGGCACAGAACAGAACAGAACAGAAGGAAAAAGATGTCATTGTTTCAGCTGGAGGGGAAAAAAACCATCAAACAATGACTGATGTGTATGTGGAGTCTTTTTTGTATCTGTAGTGTAAGCTAATCATTGTCCATCGGGTCAGAGTCATTTCTATGTTCCCAGGATTCTGTGTTCACCAGAATTACATGGCACATAATGTACACATGACAAAATGTCCTAATATATCAGAATGAACTGGGGCCATATTCACAAAACATCAAGGCTAAAAGTAGCTACTAAACTCAATAATGTTAACTGTTTTTAGTTAAAAAGAGAATTTCACAAAACATTTTAGCACTAAAACCATGCAGCTAAAACAAGAGGACTCCTAAGTCACTAAGACTAAATCACAAACAATATTAAAATAATAACAAACATTTTAGAAACATTTCACGATTATTTCCCTAGTTAAAAGTTGGGCAAGTTCTTTTAAGTTTGCACAGTGTCTATCAGCCATGATTATTCTAGTCTGTTAATTAAATGGCTGCTTATTTGCATAAATGTAAATGTAAGAGGATTAGTAATCACTTTCTGTGGCTCAACCCGATAAATTCCAGGCATGATAACTCTTTCAGTGAATGTGGTGAAATATGTGAGTAGTTTAGAAACTGTAGTCAATCCCTAGGTTCTTAGGACTTGTTCTTCTATTCCAAATGATTCAACATTTATCCTGCCGCCAACAACTGAAAAAAACAATGAAGCATTTCTTTTCAGCTTACAAAAGCACAAGGAAAGTTTTCATTATTTGTACAGTCAAACCATAGGAGACCAAAAAATTATAGAATTCACATAATTAAAATCTTATATTATGTAATTGAAGTTTCTCATCATGTATATAAGCTGAATAATTGTGTCTTGTATGTCTGTCTATGATATACTTTATTCTTACCTTTTGAACTGTGTTTTTCATGTAAACCATTTCCTGTTTCCTTTTGAACAAAACCAAACACACATTTTTAAAACATAGTAAATATTTTTTACCTTCTATTTCATGTGAAGAAAAAGTTTAATATACCTGCAACCCTGTATGAAAAGAAGAGAGAGAATAGTACAAGTATTAATGTATTTAACAATGTTTTTCAAATACATCTTTTATGCTCACCAAAGATGTATTTGCTCAAAAATACTGTAAAACATTAATACTGTAAAATATTATTACAATTTAAAAGAACTGTTTTATATTTTAATGTATTTTAAAATAGTATACATTGGATGGCAAAGCTGGATTTATTTTATGAATCTTTCATAAATCATTCTAATATAATTCTAATATGATATTAATAATAGTTATTATTATCATGGTTAAAAATTGTTTTTGCTGCTGAATATTTTTGTGGAAACCCTGATGTAATTTATTTCACGTTACTTTGATGTATAGAAATTTCGTCACGTGACACACAACAGCACTCCTATTTTATTTTTCCTTTTTATTCGAAACATTCTCAAACGCATTAACTATATCATGAAATATCTTGATTCTCACCTTTATAGATTATGTTAGTTGATCTATAGTGAGCGATGGTCAAAGTAGCATAATAATGTAGTCTATTAATAATAATAATAATAATAAAAACCTCTCTGTTTACTTAATTAACAGATATGGGTGTCATGCCATAACATATTTTTAATACGACTGACTTTATATTTAATGTGAATTTAACATTGAAAGTTAATGTGAATAAAAACATTGTAAGTTAGGCTACTTATCATAACACTTTCATTGTACTGAAAGAGCAAAGAACATTTCTACATTATGAAAGAACATTTTCACTGACAGTCTAGTTCAAGCACTCTCAAAAACTCCCATTAAAATCACTGAAGCTGTTTACACTGTGAAATGAATATCTTATTTACAGATTCATACACACATCTGCAGTTTATTGTTTCTAACGAGAGAATTCGCCAGAAAGAGGTGTTCAGTCAGCGAGCCAGTGAACAAAACACCGGCATTTTAGCGATGTCTCATCTGAACGCCTCTGATTGGTCATTGCATTCATAAGCTCAACAGCATCGTGTGTGATTGGTTATAATGCGCAGTGCTGTAAAAAAACGTCGACGCGTCTGTCTCTGGCTCAGCGCCAGCCAGCGAACGCAGTTTTGAATTTAGCAGCTGATGATGATATGAAGCGCTGAACAATTTAATCATGCTGGTGTGATTGTTTCTAATATAGAAAATATTATTCGGCTATTTTTTGTCTTTTGGAAGCTGCATTCAAAATCCACTTGGCTCAAAAATCTGAGGGGGCTTTTGAATGGGCATGACACCTCTGAGCACAACTGTTATCTACATTGATAATAAGAAAAAAATGTTTATTGAGCACCAAATCAGCAAAAATCTGTGTAATCCTCTCTACATCACCATAATTTTTAAGTGCAGCAATGATTCAAAGTGCCCCAGCCTCAAATGATTGTTGAATTTTCATAGAAAATTCCCTTATAGAAAAAAACAACTATAGATCTCATACTACAAAAATAACCGAATAAAGCTTACCTGAACTTTTAGATAGTTTCTTCTTCCGAATGTGTTTAAATATTAAAACACTTACTACTGTAATTAATATTAAAGTAACTATAACACTAGAGGCAATGATTGCTACAGCAGTAGGGGGATTTCCACATTCAGAGTCTGATGAATGTGTTCCTGGATTTGTTTCAGCAAGTCCCATGGCCTCACATCTATGAATAATATCCAGGATCAGATTTGTTGAAAAATGATCAACAGCACACATAAACAGCATAAGTGTGCACTTACTTTGTATGTGGTAAACAGGATGAGAAAGATCCGTTTGAATATGTGTCACCTGTACAGTCAGCACATACAGTATCTGTGGAACCAGTACCTGCAGAGACAGTCAGCATAAGGTTCAAATTAAACTGTCACTGTTATATTTGTCTATAAATCTCTTCCTTCTATTACAATTCATGCAGCACAATAAACAATGTTTACTGTATGTTAATATAATATGATTTATATGATTTTTTTTTTTATCATTTACCTGCTTGTTTGATATATTGTCCAGGGTTACATTTAGAATGTCGCACAGCTAAAGTGCAGCTGCCTTTCTTTTTTTCAATGCAGTAGAATCTCTCCAGTGGCCCACAAACAGCATCTGATGACCGAGTGCATACTTCACTCAGTCTTAAACCTCGGTCTAGGATGAAAAATATAATGTGTTAAGTTACTTGTCTTTTAGAAGACACCTTCGCAGTTGCATCTGAAGAGTACACTCTAAAAAATAAAGGTGCTTCATGATGCCATAGAAGAACCTTTTTGTCTAAATGGTTCCATAAAGAACCTTTAACATCTGAAGAACCTTTCTGTTTCACAAAAGGTTCTTTGTGGAGAAAGAAGGTTCTTCAGATTATAAAAAGTTAAGACAGAGACGGTTCTTTAAAGAACCATTGACTGAATGGTTCTTTGTGGAACCAAAAATGGTTCTTCCATGGCATCGCTGTGAAGAACCTTTTAAGCACCTTTATTTTTAAGAGTGTACATTATATTCTTTTCAGGGACAGTTTCCTGGAGCAACTAACTTGCAACTCTTCAGATCTTTAATCACTTGAATTAACAGACATGATTTTTCACCAACAATTTAAAATTTTCAGATGAACATATATAAAGTTGAAACACTCACTTGCATCACATACAGTACAGGGAAAGCATTCCATGAGGCCATTTGGTTCATCAAGGAAAGTTAATGGAGGGCATGGAACACAAGTTGTGCTGGTGTCATCTGTGCAGTGCCAACGAACACGGTTTCCTTAATAGGCAGCACACAAAATTGGTTCTTGATTTCTGACAATATTGAATCATATTTTAACGATTTTGAAAATGTAAGTATTAGAAATTTCTTAAGTAAAAGAAAAACCGGCTATAATTTGTATATATTTATTTTCTTTTCTTTTTAACAAACAAATGCTTTATGGCAGAATAAAGCAGATTACTTTCACTACGGAAATAATATATTTTAACAAATTTCTAATACTGTAACAGTAAATAAACATAAAGACAATATATGCTATAACTTGCAGTCTTACCAGGGGCACACATTGGGCAGCATTGCTTGTCTATCTTATATTCAGCACGAGCACATTGACAAGAACAAAGATCATAATTAAGAGGAACAATAAGTGTAATAAGAATAATAATCTTTAAAGCGAACATGGTCACAGTCTAGATCTACTTAGTTAATGTAACATTACAGTGCTGTTCAGCACAATCTTCAGACACTTCACATGCTAGGATGTTGGTTGATGTGTGCCTTAACAGTAAACCGTATGGAGGGATTTTCATAGAAAACTGAGAGACAAGGCAACAGTAGTTCAAGATTCTTCAAGACTCAGTTCTTGTACAGGTCGTGTTTCCACAGGCTTCTTGCAGACATATGCATTCTTTGGAAAACAAACTGAAACAGAAAAGGCAGAAAAAGGATTAGCTCATTGTAAACCTCCTTGTTCATACACTAGAAAATGATGGTTATTTTAGGGTGGAAAAACTCTTTTAATTGTTTAACGGTTAGTTTCCTTACTCTATGGTGAAAAACTGTAATAGATCTAATGGGCATTTCGTGTAATTTTACAGTAAAATACTGCTTCTTAGTTTTTTCTTATCAGTTAAGTATATTAAAGTTTTATGTTACATCTTATGTTAAATTAATGTCTACTGAAATTATTTTAGTGACGTGAGTAACCATGATGCTGTTTTGTATTTTTGTGACAGATTTTAATTTGGTATATGAACATCATTTCAGTTAATAAAATATGTTTTTGACTGAATATTTAAGTTTGCAAAACTTAAAATTTTGCTAACATATTTTACAGTAAAGTTCTGACAACTGCCAATTTGACTGTAAATTTCATTTTTTATGGTGTTTCTTCAACCAAGGACATGTTTCACACTCTCACAGGTTTACTTATTTGTTTACTAACAATGTTCAACAGTTATGCATCATAAGGAAATATAAATTATTATTGACCCTGAACATAAAAAAACACATAAAGAAATAAATCCAAACAGAAACACAAAATAAATGTAATGAAGCCAAGTTAAAGTGTAATGTTGTGACAATGTTTTTATGTCCATCATTATGCATTTTGGTGTAACTGAATGGCAGTTCTCTCTGCAGATGATGAGGTTGTGGGATGTCACAGCATCTGGCTGTGTAGAAATACACAAATGAGTTTAGACGGTGGGTGTCTTTCATTTGTTTAAGTAAAAGCAATAAAGTTTATGAGCCCTTTACAATGTTAGAACGAAAAGGTGATTAACAATAATGGTATAGATTTAATGTGTTTGTGACTGGGCATGTTTATGCACAGTTGAAAACTTGATAACAATATGGATCATAAATTCCAACATGTGTGGTGGTCATGAAAATGTAAGTGGAAAAAAAAGAAATGAATCTTTCTTCCTTTTCTTCTCATTTGCTCTATGGAAGCAGTAATATTCGTTGTATCATCGATCGATTGCTTTTCCCTTTGGAGCGTTCACCTGTTGGGGGAGGGGGCGCGCTGCTCAGACAATACAGACGCTGGCAGTGAGAAAGCAGCTCCGTGTCCTGTGTTCATTTTATATACATTTGTATCTCCCCTTATCAGGTATGTAATGCACATGGTGTGAATGTGAAAATATTATGGAGTATGTCAGTTATTGAGTAGTTGTCAGTATCTGAATAGTTGAAGAAATTGTTTTGTAAGAGTTGATACCAAGTTCGCTGTGTATCCTAATTGTGCTAGTCATCACATGCTAGTAATGGAGAAAACGTGGTCATACAAATACTGCATTTAGTGCAGGAAAGATGAATGTATATTTTTTGAGAATTAAGTGTAAATTTGTGTTCTAAAAGTTTATTAATCCGTTTATATACATTCCTGTATTTGAAATATAAATCCCTGGTGAGTTAAGTTAAAAATGCGTATGGGAAAATGTATAACAGTTAATTAAATCAAGTTTACACAATGTGCATGTTAAAAGTGCAGTTAAAGTGAATATATACTTAAGGTGAAATTGTGAACGTGAAATGCTGTGAGATCTTAAAGACATATTAAAAATGTGTTAAAAGGGATATTAAATCCTGAGATACTTGTATAATTCATATATTTAAATTGATGTTGTACAAAACAGCTTCATTCATCTCATAGTACTGTTAAAAAGAATGTATTCCATGTATATTGAATAACTAAGTTTATTTTTTATTGAGTTGTTATTGGAGAAACCGGTTAAAACACTGAGAAACTGGTTAAAACACTTTATTGTTGCTCAGACAATACAGACGCTGGCAGTGAGAAAGCAGCTCCGTGTCCTGTGTTCATTTTATATACATTTGTATCTCCCCTTATCAGGCGGTGAGGGTGCTACACATGCTTGTCACTTACTTGCTTATTAGTGTAGAAGAGGAGAGAACTATCCTCAACTAAGCTGGTCAGAGCTGATCATGCATGTTCTGTAAAAAAAAAAGAAAAGTTAAAACGTACACAATTGGTAGGAGACCAGTTACAATTTTAAAGTTAAATTCATGGGCATTTTAAAGTAGCCTACCTGTTAAGGGTGTAGTTGGATGGTTGATCTCGAGAAAATCAACAACGTAATAAATGTAATAGAGTAATAAATATGAGACAAAGGTAAATTAATAAAAGTTATGCATAAAAGGCAAAAAAACCCCTGAAATATTCATTTCGATACAAATCGATTTCTGGGAAGCGCACAGAGCTGAAGAAATTTGTTATGAAAACAGTCGGTAAAATATAATCGTTTACTTAATAAAAACGATACTAAATTGGATTAACAGGAAACAACTCCGCTGTGGAGCAGATGGATAAAAATCACTTTACAAATCAATCAAAATTAATAAAATAAAGAAATAACACGATCATAATAATATTATCATAGTAATTTAAAGAGAAAACTGGAGACGGGTATAGCCTAGGCTATATTGGTCGTTATTTGTCAACTGCCTTCAAAATTCGGACATTTTTAAATAAGTCTCGTGAGCAGGTCACGAGTTTTCCTCAAAAATAAAACTTTAAAACCACTTACCACTAGATATAGGGCGAATATCACTTCTTTTTCTTTCACAAAACATTGGTCACAGACATTTCAAAAAGTAGAAGTATAGCCTCAAAAAAAGTAAAAGTATTGTTTAGCCTAAATATGGCGTTTCAGAGTTGGGCGGGTCGATCCTGAAGTATCCATGTTTCGAAAGGATGGAAAAAATATCGATCTTGAGGTGTTTTTTAAAACAAGTTATTGTTATTAGCGAATAATTGTGTATAACTATTCCTCCTGCTCGTCGAACATATAAGCAATTGCTCAAAGACAGAACCAATCAATTACAGAGTGTTCGTTGCTGACGCTTCGCTCACAGTCAGTGCTTGTTCAAGGGCTATTTCCCAAAATCATAAGCATAAGTAAATCTTAAAAAAAAAAAAAAAAAAACACTTTTCCACCACTGGTCTCTGATCAGCTTGGCTCACGACGCGTACACAACTGCTCAGAATGCTGCTTACGTCAGTAAGACTGATTTAAAGAAATGAATAGCCTACTTTTATTCAGCAAGGTTTAATAGAGAATGAGGAGTTACGTCACGATCTTTTCACTCCGCATTGCATTTCGGGAAGGCGCCGCCATATTAGCATGATACGCTATCCGTTCCCATGGTTACTTCTCATTCTCTATAAGGATAAATGCTTATTAGGGCCCAAGCCAGTAAGGCGAGGGCCCTATTGTTTTTCTTAGGATTATTCTTATTATTATTACGATTCTTCTTATTTTTTTCCAAGGTTATTGGGGCTTTTGGGGCCCTTAATGTGCTCAAAAACTCTTGAAAATTGGCACACACCTTGGAATCTGCGGCCATTAGAGCCGGGCAGAGACTGGTACACGGGCGTGGCACAGGGGCTCTACAGCGCCCCCTGGAATACGGTGGGACATATATCATACATACTTGCACGTATACATATGAAACTCGGTACACATATAGATCACATCGAGCCAAACAACTTTCACACTGCATGTCATAAGCTCTGCCCAACAGGAAGTTGGCTATTTAGGGTTTTGTGAAAAGCACATGCTCTGGAATTTGTGATACTCGTCGAGAATAATGACAAAACACGGCAGATGTGAAACTGTTGAGGGAATATTGATATCGTAAATGCTGTTGCCATGGCAACGTGTCAAACTTTAACATTAGTTTTCTGTGTTTTTGAAACAGATAACATGCTTATGTTTCCTGAAACTCGACACACACATCAGCATTAATGATAGTTAGACACTGGAAAAAGCTCAAAAGGGCGTGGAAGAGGCACTCTATAGCGCCACCTTTTGTCAAAACTTGGGGGGTTAGTTTTAGCTACAGTCAACAAACTTGATACATGTATTGTACTCAACAAGCCGGACAACTTTCTAATTTACAGTCATTAGCTACGACCAACAGGAAGTCGGCTATTGTGGTTTGAATATGGATTTTTATCCTATATCCTCTCTCACTGATAGGATAATAAATATTTTAAGTCTGACACTTTACTGCTCATTTCAATTAATTAGAATAAGGAACAAATACATACAAATAAGTTAATGTGTACTTTACTGGTAATATATTTTTATATAATTATTTCACAAATGCTTATAGGTTATTAAAATAATTTAAAAAAATGGTTATAGATCAGAAAACATGTTGGTAACAAGTTACAATACTGTCTCTTAGGTTAACATTAGGTAATGCATTAACTAGCATGAACTAACAATGAACAATATATGTTTACAGCATGTATTAATCTTTTTAATGTTAATAAATAAAAATAGTAATGTTCATGTGAATTCACATTACATAAACTAATGTTAAAAGGTACAACTTTAAATTTTAATAATGTATTAATACATTTTGGACTTAATATTAAATATCATTAATAAATGCTGTATAAATATTGTTCATGTTAACTAATAGTTAAAATATATAGTTTTGTAACATTAGTTAATTCACAACTAACATAAAGTAAGTATAAACAATATGTTTTTACTGTATTTATTTGTGTTGGTAAAAAAAATTTCATCTTAGTTCATGGTACAGTAACTGATGTGCATTAACTATACATTTTAATAAATAATGTAGTAGTCAATTTTGAACATGATAATGACTGAGATTCATAAATACTATATAAATATTGTTCATGTTAACATAGTTATATAATATTAAAAACTATGACATCCTGTGACACGACATTCATCTGAATTTACATAATCTCATGGATGTAACAGTAAAACAGTTCAGCTCACAGATGAAGACTAAGCTGTAATGCAGGCAAAAATATTTCACAAATGCTTATAGATCAATCAAATTGTTAAAAATGCTTTAAAGGTTTTAAAGGTTTTGGTAACACTTTACAATACCTCATTTGTTAACATTAACAACAGTAAATGCATGAACTAAAAAAACTAACAATGACAAATATATTTTTACAACATTTATTAATGTTTGTTGATGTTAGTTAATCAAAATGTTAATGTTAATTCACAGTGCATTATCTAATGTTAACAGATAAAAAAGTGGGGGTGAGAGAGAGAGAGAGAGAGAGAGC